AGTAATATTTGAATGAATCATTGGACATGTAGAATTTAATAACAATTTCACATATAGAAATATCAGGCCTTAAAATATCGGTCGGTCACAGACATTGTCTGACCCATTCATGTCATTCATGAAATTGTCCGACGTACAGTATAGAGAGGAAGCCACCGGACATTCTGTCGACATAAGTGAAACTGGGGTTTACTGTTTGTCCGACCCTAGTGTATTGGTATCCGACCGAACTGTAGCTTTGTCCAACGTAAATCAATCCGCAGTAAGGCTCGTATGGTAAATGGAAAATCAGAGGACAATTGAGTATTAGCGAGGTTTAGCAAAGACGACGCGACGTCAAAGACGACGTGAAAATGGCGTAAAAATGGCGTGACATGCCCATCTATGGATGTGCCTACGCCATTTTTACGCCATTTTCACGTCGTCTTTGACGTTGCGTCGTCTTTGACGTTGCGTCGTCTTTGCTAAACCTCGCTATTGTCCCCGAGCCGACGGCGCGAATAAGCGCCGTGCGAGGGTACTAATTCCCCCCGGCTATTTACACCCGGGGAAGGGAAGCATCAGCGAAGTCTAAAGTTTATCAAATATCGCGGGCGTGGGTCACTGTGCGTGTTTCGGTGGGTGGTCATCCTCACTGATCCCATAATATAGCGGACTGTAATGAATAGCCAACACTGATTGGTCCAATTTAAAATTGGCATTATAACGGCTGCATGACGATTGACGACAGCGAAATTGATTTGATGATTTCTTGCAAATATATTTCATTTTTGCAAGATTTTGTAAATTGCAAAGGATTTTTGATGAAATAAAGGCAAGAGGATTGCTAAAAGAAGGAAGTAAAGGTGCCGTCGTTAACGAAGTAAGTTTGTTTTAAATATTGATGCATTGTTTGCTTTTAATATACTGTAATCTCGGCTGTAATTACTTTAAAAGCCGATCGTTGCGTATATAAAATATGAAACAAGACAGCGTATTATTTCACTGTTTCTTTATTGATTACACTTTTTATTATACTAAGCAAAGTTATTTACATGGGAGAATTTGGAATCATTTTATTTCGAACTCAAAGTTTATCGATAAAGGCGGTTTAGTTCTATATAGAAAGAACACTTTCAAACGTTTTGCGAAGCGTTTATGGTTGAATTTTACCTTAAATTGAAGCTTATATTACGTATAATAACATACCTACTGTAATTACTTTAAAAGCCGATCGTTGTGTATAAATATGAAACAAGACAGCGTATTATTTCAGTGTTTCTTTATTGATTACACTTTTTATTATACTAAGCAAAGTTATTTGCATGGGAGAATTTGGATTCATTTTATTTCGAACTCAAAGTTTATCGATAAAGGCAGTTTAGTTCTATAGTAAAAGAACATTTTAAAACGTTTTGCGAAGCGTTTGTGGTTGAATTTTACCTTAAATTCAAGCTTATATTACGTATAATAACATACCTAACATATATATGTTTAGCAAATTGATAATTTTGTAATTAAAAGTGATATTTATAGGGGATTTTTCATTTGTAAAAACATTCTTAAAAAATTATCGTGTTACCATGACAACTACTTAAAATACTTCACGTTCGGAAAATAAAATGGTTTTGTCAGCAAGGCGAGGGTTTCTGCATGCATGTATTTTCTAGTATAAAAAGTAAACTGCATGGAAATGTTGTTTCAACGTAGGCTGATCGAGCGCGGGGCGGCAACGTGCTAGCGAAATGGTGAAGGGGAAAACAGGCTTAAGTTGTCGAAGTCTTACTGCTGTTCTTGCAAGCAAGTTAATTTTGGCTTGGAAATAAGTATGAATGACACAAATTATTTAATATCTTCACAACATTTACCGTTTAGAATTAATACATTGTGCTGATATTCATTTGTGTCATTCAGACTTATTTCCAAATCAAAACTGAACTGAAGGTCATCGGACATATGTCCAACCCAAACTCAACGTCATCGGACATTTTGTCAGACAGCCCTGTAAAAGATATTTTAAGGCCTGAAATATATTAAGTCAGTTTTTGTCCCAACTATTGTTTTTATACAATAATGGCACCTTCAAGGCTACCTCCCTATTGCAAAACAACTGAAAAATCTGCTGATGCCTGATGGGGAGACAAAATCTATTTGTTGACACTTTTGTTTCATATGATATGTCCGCTTCTGATGACACCATTCACTTGTAATGATTAAGATTGTACTCAGTCAGAACTGCAAAACTATATAGTACAAGAAATTTTGAGCATTTATATAAAAAAGATTAGTATACCCTGAGTACTGTAGTGTCAGTAGTGACACAGCAAGATGAATCTATAAATGTAGGCTGGTAGGATTACTTCATATTATGCTATTAACAATGGACATATCTCAGAGATATATTTTTACCAGGGGCGCCGGAAGCAATGTGAAGCGGCGGGGGCAGCCATTTCAAAAGGGCACTAGCTTCTCAGCCATCGTTTTTCAGGGCAGCAATATTTGTTAAAACTTTACTGTATGGATACTCGATTACTTCTGGCTATTATGGGCCGCAAGTTTCGACGTTAATTTGAACAATTCTATTCGTTGCACCGTGCTACAGACCGTCATACCTTTTACAAAATTCGTTTGACATGTTAATAGATGTAACTGACACAGGGTTGCTATAGGAATATCTTTGTACAAGTCAGATAATGTTTCCTTCGTATACAATTGTGTCAATATGTAAAATAATTCGACCAAAACACATTGTTATTTGTGATCAAACTTTCATCTTACCTTGAAGAACATTTTCGATAAATAGCCAGACATAAAATTTGCAGCAAGCTGGAATCAAAATTTACAAAAGGCACGAGGCAACGTGTGTTATTTACAAATTGTAATCCTGTAGTCCATTGTCCATGGTGGTGTTCGCGAGTCTCAGCCAGAGTAGTAAAGCCCCCCACTATGGCGGCGGAAGTAATTAGTATGCAAGTATGATTTGGTGCGGGAAGTAATTAGCATGCAAAATCTATGACGTCACTTTGTTCGGCTAACAATCTGGCGGATTTTATAATGAGCATGCAAAATCTATGACGCCAGGTAGCGCGACCAATTAACGCGGGCAGGCCTGGGCCAAACGTGACAGGTAGCGCGACCAATTAACGCGGGCAGGTCTGGGCCAAATGTGGCAGGCAACGCGATCAATTAGCATTACAATACAGTAACATCACTATAAATACAGCTAGTGTCCTTTCACCTGCATAGTCTGTATTCAACGCTCACGATGGAATGTTTTCACGGTAAACCAGCTGCTTGTTCTACAACTGCTCGTGGTAGGTTTTGGTTTTGTGGCGAAACACCGAGCTGCGAGTTCTTTTGCCATGACGAAGACTGTTATCTGTTTACGAGAGCAATGGAAGCCTGTCAGAATAGTGGTTCCAATCATCCCATTTGCCCAACACATCAGAGACTAGCCAAATTACGTGTGGTAAAAGATAAAATGAAAGAAAATTATGGAAGACCCTTCTTCACGTGTTTTGATCGACATGATCCTTGCAACTTTTGGCAATGGGGAGACATTTACGAAAGCCCTCGACCACGCTGCAAACACGGGATGGTATGCACCGTACGTAAAGTGAAAAAAGAAGGACCCACCCTGAACCGCCTGTTTTACTGTTGCCCTCAGATAGACAGCTGTGGATTTTTCGAATGGAAAGAGATCGAACCTCGTGTGGCCAAGACTGGCTTCGTCCTATTCAGTGACCCGCTAGAATATCGATACAAGAATGAAGACACGGGAGAAACATTCACTAGTACTAACATTAATGCTAAGGAAGCGTAGGAAGAATTCCTTAAGAAATATGAATAACTGTAATAAAACGAAATAAATTGTTTTTATCATCATGAATGTGTTATGTATGTTATTGAGATAAATCACTTACATTTCTCATTTGGGTTTTAACCTTTATGGGGAGAGGTTCTCTGGTGAGATGAATAATATAAATATAATTTTTGACGAGTTGAGACAAAATGAAATCGATATCGATAGGCAGACTTTATCGTTTCATATAAATGCAATTCTCAACCACCATCGAGATCTATATCGTGCAGTGGGTGCTCATAGTCTAAACCTTGACCAAGTCTACAGAGATATAAATATGACAAACTTTGGTCGCATTTTTGCTTATTTAGCGTTAGTTTGTGTGCAAAGTGGCAGCGAGGAAAGCGTTCGAGAACATGTCCGAAAAACTATCGAGGCCTTTCGAACTTTTCATATCCCAAAAGCGAAGAGGAATAATAAACCACCAATTTTAATAGCGCTCTCACTTACACTAATAGCTTTATATGTTAGTCTATGATTGCTGCATGGTTCATTTCGTTCTAACCTCTGAGGTGAAAGGATGCCCTGTTGTGGTAAAAGTCTTCCAGAAATTTCCCTCCGAGATATCTTTCGGAAAGTGCGCTGTATTTCCGCTTGCTGTGG